GCGCGTGCACGGCATCCGGTGCGTGAGGTGTGTACGCGCTCTGGCGTAGTTTACGCAAGCGCCGGAAGTGATCTCTCGCGCGTATACGTCACTCATTGTTTACACAGTGCACAGTCATTGTAGGTACGACGGCTAATCAAAATGGTACTTACTTGCGCTTATCCGGATTGTTCAAACCGACTTAAAACTAAAAGATTACGTTCTCTCGTGCGAACTCATTCGGGAGTGGTGACTTTCCACGTATTCCCAACTTCTGAGCCTGCTCGCCTGAAGTTATGGTTGATTGCTCTTCGGCTGGATATCAACACACCCTTTAACGTAAACTACGCCAGAGCGCGTACACACCTCACGCACCGGATGCCGTACGCTCGCTCAAGGCAGTTGGACATAGTGGTGTATTAGAGGTAAAAAATTATATAAATACTGTTCGGTTTCTCGCACAAACCGATCGTTTCGTGTCTTAGGACATCAATGTGTCGTCACGAGCCGCAGGGTTTAATTTGGATTTGTCTGTGCATGTTTTTTTTACTCTCATAGATTTTGTTACCATTGCCATGCATTATACGACTGATAGACTGCAACGGCTGGACTTCTACTACTGAAGAAACAAAGTCACCTACATCTTGGATGCCCTGGGGGTAAGCAGATAAACATCAAATTTTTGGGTGAACTATCCCTTTAATAATAATTTGTCAACAGTCACTTTCTGGATTTTGTCAGACATGCCACAGAATATTCTAATGCCAGCTAAACACAAATAAACATGTTTCCAAGTAGCAAAGTGCTCCTTGCTGTCAAATGTTTCCATTTTCATTCAAAGGGAACGTGGCTACATGTCTAAGATTATTATTGAGAACAAGCAGCATGCTGTGATGGCTTGGTCACCGGCTCATGTTTCTGGCTTTGCCCTTGCCACATAGATCTAAAATTGTGGTCCAGCAGACTAAGGGTAAAGCTATTTAAGAGACCAGAAAGCAGTTTTTGCCAGATTGTAGCACCTGAAAAATTAGACTATTAATTGGGAAATTAGAAGAGCAAAATCAACGTGTCTAGCGCCAAATGTCTGTTAAAGTCCAATACCTTCAGTCATTGTTTGGAAGTACATCTTCCCACTTAAACGTCCAAAGCCCGCCACTGTTCTGGCCCGAACCTGGAACACGTAGATGATCCCTGGCTTCAGGCCACAGATAACTGCTGTATTAGTCTGACTCCGCAGTAGAGAGGAGTTCGACTCCGCCGTATTCTAGAATAAATGTCAGTGATTCATTTAGTTAATTAAAATTATGTTAATGCGACACAGTATCTGAACTTTTTAATCACAATTTAATTTAATTGCAAATAGTTAATTTAAATAAGCAAAATCGAAGTCTACTAAATATATTTTGTTGGGACTACATTAACAATTTCATTAGCATAACAGGATATACAGAAATACAGAACTTCTCAGACACACTGGAAATTGATTTGAGTGTTATGTGTTAAACTAACATAATCTATCCATGTAGTGTATTTAATTTAATTCTTTATTAAATTAAAATAACAGGCACTTCATGTGGCCTGAGCTCTAATTCCACCCTTAATTAATCTTAATTTAAATTTGTATAAGAACATAACTAATTTATCCGAAGGATTTTGTGAAGTTCACCTCAATTGAACTTCACTGAATGTTTCTATTTTTGAGAGAATAGCTGGACAATTTTGAGTGTGTTCGTATTTGATGACTTATTACCTTCTCATAATATTGCAGTTCATAGTCCAAAATGACTCCATTGGGCTGGGCTGGTTGGGACCAGGACAATGTGATACTGTCCACAGTTCGACTGACCTGATGCATGATTGACACAGCAGATGGAGCTGTAGAGAGGATGATAAAAAGGAAACAATTAAATGAGAAATAAATATTGCTGGATACATTAAGTGTGGGAGTTCATCTGAGAGTCTTTTGAAAACTAGGTTCATAATAAGGATTAAATTAGAGAGGTTTAGATCACCACACAGAATATCAGCCAAGCCAAGGCCCCTCAGCATAAAAAAATGATTTTCATTAAGAACATTAAAATTAATACATTGCATAATCCTTAATAGATCAAAAGTTAAAGTTAAAAACTATTAATTCACTAAAACCGATCCTGAAAATTTTGTTTGTTTGAATAAGTTAATATTTTTATTCAACAAAGATGCCTTTAAGTGGTGAAAAGTGAGAGTACAGACTGTTATAATATTACAAAAAATGTCCAGTTCTTTTGAACTTTATTCATTAATTAGTCCTTAAAAGTATCAGTTTTCACAAAAAAATATTAATCAGCACAACTGTTTTCAACATTGGTAATAATAAGAAAAGTTTATTGAGCATCAAATCAGCATATTAGAATGATTTCTGAAGGATCATCATGTGACACTGAAGACTGGAATAATGATGCTGAAAATTCAGCTTTTCCATCCCAGGAATAAACTGCATTTTAAAATATATTAAAATAGAAAAAAAGTCATTTTAAACTTTAATGATATTTCATAATATTACTATTTTTATTGTATTTTCTGATGAAATAAATGTTGCCTTGGTGCACATACAAGGGGATTTTTTCCCCAAAAATATTTAAATAAAAAATTTGACACCCTAAACTTTTGAACGGTAGTGTAGGGACCTCTGGTTTAGATAATCAATCTAGAGAGTTCACTGTTTTTGACATTTGGAAAGCACTGCAACAGCATATACATTTCTCCCTAAGCACAACAGCATTTCCAACAAAGATCAGCTATAACGTCTACAGTTCTGGAGCTCCCATGCTAAACTGGCCACTGCGTTGGACTCACAGTCCTCTGGCATCCGTGCAGTTTTGGATATAGAGGAGCCATTATATCAACTGCAGCTTCAGGCTGACTACTAAAAGAAAGACTCTGGAAGCCCATGTAACACTTCATTATCATTTACAAGCTTAAAGAAGCAAAAAGACAAGCGTGAAAGCTGGCAAACACTATGGCTGCTGGTAAAACTGCACTTGTGGTTTAAAGATCAAACAAATCACGGTGCCTTAAAGCCAATCGATGCCTTGAACAGGGTTCAGCTGTAGCAGCGGGGTGGCAGAGTACATGAGGTTTGCTCATGGCATGCTTGCTTGGGCTTGTAGGGAGGAAAGGGATTCTGTTTATATGCCAAATACTGATTCCCTAGGCATGCGTGATAAAATATAATAGGTAAGACAATATCTGAGCATTTTAAGACCATTTTAATCTTTTTTCAAAATAAATTGGTCAAATAAATGACACTGATACTCTTTCACGTGTGCCATTTCTGTATAATTATGGCTGTTAAGCCCAAAGAAAGACGTTTTATACATTGTATTTATAGTTGGCATAAAGTTGATGGTTGATCGCTCCGAGAGTTCGAGGCCTCAGGTTGTTATGCTTTCTCTGTTGTCGATCAGAGCTCAGGAATATTAAGCACACAATGTTGTGTAAAAAATATGTCTTGTACTATTCAGTTTCTCTGTAAACTTCGATCCTGAACTTTGATTAAGTGTTTTTCCATGCGCTAGTTTCAATGGGCAGAACAGGCTCTGTGTCTTGATTTACTGCACTGAATGATGGGATGGTGTGTGAGGAGGATGGGATTGTTGAGAAGTCGAGCGTGCCATTGTGTATGTTGGAGAGATTCATCCAAACAACACTAAGAAAGACCGATGTGATTAGACTAACGCTCCAAATAGGAAGACGAACCATTTCAAACAATCACAAAAATCAATTCCTCAGGCGCATGTAACTTTTTGACCCCCATAATTTGTTGTTGATGACAGGACTACACTAGGAAAATATCAAAGATAAGCCATCATTTATTCACACTTGTGTCTTTTGAAACCGGTATGACTTACTTTCTTCAGTGAAACAAAAAACGGAAGTTTCATGGAATGTTCAAGCGGCTCTTTTCTCAATCCAAAATTAATGGTGACCAGCAAGATTGTCAACTTAAATTTCAGTCTTTCCCTCACACAAACTATCATATGGCTTAAGAAGACTTGGCATGTAGTGCACAAGTTGTATGGACCACTTTTATGGTATTTTTTGGTCCTTTTTGAAGCCTTTTTATTCCTATGATGGCAAAGATGAATTTTCAGTTTTTAGTGTCACATGATCCTTCAGAAATCATTCTAATATGCTGATTTGCTGCTCAAGAAACATTTATTATTATCATTATTAAAAAGTTGTGCGGCCTAACATTTTTTGTGAAAACCGTAAATAAATTCTTCAAAATAACAGCATTTATTTGAAATAGAAATCTTTTGTAACATTATGAATGTCTCTACATAACTTTTTTTTTATCAATTTGATGTGTCCATGCTAAATAACAATATTAATTTCCTACAAAAAAAATTGAATGGTAGTGTATATAAAACTCACTGGAATGGCAACAACAAAAATGCTATTAGCCTTTGAATCTTGTTTATTCTAAGTAGCCATTGTTCTTTAACAGACCACAGTGTTTTCAAGGAAATGCAGTTTTCTAAAGTTCAAGAAACTCCAGAACGTCTGGAGAGAATCCACCACAAGTCATTATATATGAAAATAAGTTCTCTTGGTCTGATGAGGTGATTGGTTTTCCAAAGAGTCTGCAGTAAGTGGTACTTCATCATTCCGCTGCTCTCTTTGACGGCAATTTATGAGAAATACAAGTAGTACTCTCTCAGTGAAAAACATAAATTCATATGTCCTTGTGGTATTCTGGAGGAGAAAAAGAGGAACAGATTACGAGCATTTGGATCTCAGAATCATTCTTTCCTCCGCAAGAATTTTCACTGCGGCAAATGACAAAGTAATTTCCTAGTTGATAGCAGCTTAAAACAAAGTATTAAAGACTTGAAAACATTAATGGGAATACCTATAGGCCTAATGTTTTTGAAATGTTTTTTTTTTTAAATAGTCTTCTCGAAATTCCTTCCCTGAGGCTAAATATCCTTTCGTTATTTTCTTGTACTGTTTTTACTTATTTGATGTGCACATCCTATATTTTATAAAAACCATTAGCTTGTAAGTTTCTCAGAGCAACATTATTAATAAATCCCTGAGTGTGGGAGGACGTTTATAGTTCCTGAGTGCTGTGTAAACCCGTAGCTGTTGAGCTCATGCTTGGGCTCTGGCTGAGCAGCCGGTCCTGGCATTGTCCCTCTCTCTGTGTTTGGGGGGATGCGGGTGGTGTGAGGTGGATTTTTGTCTTTTAATGGCAGCAGTGAAGCGGTAATGTGGACTGACAAGCACACCGGTGGAGCCCCAGCCTCCAGTGATAGAGCCAGCGAGTTCACTGCAGCACAGCCGGGGGCACGGCTCTCATTAAAATGCTCTATTAAACACTATTATGTTCCTTTTGAACTGGCTCTTTTTGACTGGCATTATCCCTGAACAGAGCAATATGACGAGTGTTGTGGACGATTTCAGTTCTCAGATAAAAATTGAGGGAACATTAGAAATCTGATCAGGTGAAGATAAAAAGATGCAAACACATCACTTTCATGATGGTGTCCTATAAAACTGAAGACACTCAAAGCAGCTTTCGGTCGGGGAAAAAAAAA